CATGTAAAGCAACCTGGCATCAGAGGGGTCAGTGAGCTCCCGTACTGAAATACAAGATTGTACTATGTGAGTCTGAACCATGCCATGATGATGTGGTGAGACTGGTGCTTTGCAGATATCAGGTTCTGTGGACAGAGGGTGCAGGCAGGTCACTGCCCTTGGAACATGGCTCGAGATGTTGAGGAATACTGGTTGAGATGGATGCTCAGAGAAGATCCAGTCAACACCTGTTGTCAGGTACCTGTTCAGACTTTCATGGCATGAATTGGTCTATGTAGTTTCTCTCCAATAACTGGGAAGATAGCATCCTGCATTTTTTTTAACCATCACTAATAGCAACTTGCTATGAAAAAAGTGAGATTAGATAAGAATAAGATGCTAATGCATGCAAAAAGTTCCCTTGACGCTGTAATAATGAGACTCTGCTCTAGCCGTTGAAACCTTAGGTAGAAACTTGGATTTTAATTTCTTTACATTGAGAATCTAATTATTTTTCATTTTGTCATATTTTCCACGTGTCTCACCATTGTCCACATCATTCAAAGGCTGGGAAATTCACCCCATGGTTAACTTTGAAAAGGCCAGATTAGCCACTGAGTTCAAGGACAATTCGAGATGAGCCACAAATGCTGGCCTTGCCAGACATGCCTACAGCCTGTGAAAAACAAGAAAAGTCTCACTACATAGTAGGGATAAACTTTCAACTGAGACAGATGGACCTGTGGGAGAGTCTTTAGCTTATCCTAAAGGAGTAAAATAGGTTTTGGTAGTCAGGAGGCAAGTTCTTTCCCACAGAGTTCCCAGCCTATGACCTGCTCTTTGTGCAGGTTGGTGCAATTAGGTTCTGGTCAATGGTGACCTCCAAAATGTTGATGGTAGAAAATTGAGCAATGGTAACAACATTGAATGCGAAGGGGAGATGATTGGATTCTTTGTTGTTATAAATGATAATTACTTGATACTTGTTTAGCACAAATATCATTTGACAGTTCTCAGACCAAGTCTGTATATTGTCTAAGTTTTGCTTCATGTGGGCATGAACTGCTTCATTATCTGAGGGAGTTACAAAGATCATCAGCAAATATTCTCAATTCTGACTTTATGATAGAGTGAAGATCGTTGATGAAGCAGCTGAAGATGGTTGTCACAGGTCATTGGGAAATTCCTACAGTGATGTCTGGGCTAAGATAATTGTCCTCTAACATTCAAAATCATATTTCATTGTTCTATGTATGACTCCAACCCGTGCAAGTTCTCCGTCCACTCCTTGATGTAATAATTAGTCAAATGCTACTTTGATGTCAAGGGTAGTCACTCATCTCGTCTCTGGAATTCCCATTTTTCATTCATGCTTGAATTAAGGCTGTGATAGGCACATAAGCTGCATGGTCCTGATTTGGCAGTCAGTGTGCTGATAGAGACTCCTGTTTTACTAGAAATTTAAATTTCTTGCAACTAAAAAGTTTCCCTACTTCCTCTCAGAAAATGTTTCGTATTTTAAATACTGGTAGAAGTTTAACATGAAAAACATATATTACAATGTCAATTTTTGGCTACTTTTACTTGAGATTTAAATGGCCTTAGATGGTACCCTAGATATTTTCTAATTAATCTGCTTAGAGATATTATTACACACCACTGGAGCAGGTGGGACTTGAACCCTGCCTTTTGGCTCAGAGGTAAACAAACATATCTTATAGTCTTAAATTTGCCTTTCAATTCACAGAATCATTGGAAAAACATAACCATCAACTAGCAGGCCCATCAAGTTTGCTCCAGTAGTTTTCTTCATGTGAATCTTTTTTTTTGACTTGCCATTTTCTGGTGGCATCTATAATATTTAATATTCATATTTTAAGTCACTATCTTACTTCCCATCAAAATAATCAGTATAGACTTTTCTGGAACAACGATATCACATGTTAGTACTAATAGAAAGCAGACTAGTGGGTGGAATAGATCCAACTGGGGTGTGGTTAATTGCTACACTGCTAAAATGTTGCAAATTAAAAATACTTATCAAATAATTACAGCCATATGCTGTTCATCTTATGCGCATTAGCACTTCTTGTTAGTTCATTTATACATATGATCAAGAATTGTGAGTAAAAAAAAGTTCTGCTTTCTGAAAATAATTTTGGATTTGCATTTAGGGTTTTAACCATCTGCAGTTATTCAAATCTAACACATGAAGCCACAAGAGGATTGCAGTAAGACTGGAACTAGGTTTTCAAAATGTGGAACAAAGGTACTGAGTGTCACAGATGAACAATATCAAGCCTCCATATTAAAACAGAGGACACCAGTTTCTTCCCAAGAGTGTCATTAGAGTGTGGAATTCTCATTCCAAGAAGGTAATGGAGGCTGTGTCTTTAAATTGATTCAAGGCTGAATTAGGTATATTTTTGATTGGCAATGGAGTTAAGAATCATTTCAGAAAGCAGTTAGGAGTCAACCACATTTCTGTGGGTCTAGAGTCACATGTAAATCAGATGGGTATGGATGGCTGATTTCCTTCGTAAAGAACATCAGTAAATCAGGTTTTAAAGACATCAATGAAAGTTTCATGATCACCACTGAGACTAACTTTCAATTTCAGATTTTATTAATTTGTATTTAAATTACACTAGATGCTGTGGTGGGACTTGAATGCATGTCTCCAGAGTATTAGCCTGGACTTCCCAATTACTTGTCCAGAGTCACACCGCTACAGAGTCTTAGGGTTGCATAGCAAGGAAACAGACCCTTCAATCCAACTCATCCATGTCGACCAGATTCCTAAACTGATCTAGTCCCATTTGTCAGCATTTGGCCCATATACCCATCCAAATGCTTTTTAAATGTTGTGATTGTACCAGCCTCCACCACTTCCTCTGGCAGCTCATTCCATACATGGACCCTCTGTGTGGAAAAAAAGAGAATTCCACTACTCCACCATCTTCCCCATGAGTCTTCCTGGAATACCAATCTTTCTGAAACAAGAGTACTACTTAAGCCCAGTCATTACTGACATGTAGAAATGACATATGCTCACTAACTAGTCACCAGGACACTAGCCTCAAAGCTATCCTGTATAACCTCTATCAATGGTCCGCTGTAGTTTTGCTATTCTATTACCAGAAATGTAGAAATTAATGAACGTGGTCGTGTCAGCTGTGGCTCAGTGGTTGAGTTTTATCTCAGAGTTCAGAGATTGTCAATTTTTTTTTCAACTCTATACTTGAACCCATAATCCAGGCTGACATGCCCAGTGCAGTATCACAGTACTGTTCTTTCAGATAAAAGGTCAAAGCATAGTTCTGTCTGTTTTTTCATGAGAGTATCAAAGATCCCAGAATGACAGAGAAGTGGCCCTAAGATTTTGCTTAGATAGTTTTGGGAAATAAGAAGCCATTGTTTTCAGTACTTACTCCAAACTCCACTCCCTAGCTACGAAGTCTATCCTTCTTCCTAACAGCAATCTGAGATTAAGCCATCCTGTTCATAACCTCAAGTGTCATACTTACTCCAAAAATGAGCTTCAGACATCAGATCACACCATCACTAAGATGGCCTTCTTCTAACATTCGTCATGTCCCACAGTCCTCCTTCAATTCTGGCCTATCAAGCATCCTTCATTTTAATCACTCCACCATTGGTGACTAGAATGTCAGTTGTGAAGGCCCTTGGCTCTGTAAAATCCTCCCTGAATGTCTCCACCTTCCTTCCCCCATCATGATGACCCTTAAAAGCTACCTCTTGGACCAAGGTTTAGCACATCAAATTGTCCATATTGCTTCAGTAAAGTACTTTTTAAATATATATATATAAGTTATGCATCAAAATAATTTGTTGTATTCTGGCCAATACTTTTCCCTCAAGTAACATCATCAAGATGGATTATGCAATCTTATCTGATTAGTTAGATCTTTCTCTTATTAGATACTTATTTGATCCATTGTGTAGTTCCTGTATTTTCTATTTTTGTTTCAAATTTCAACATCTGCAGTATTTTGCATTTGATCAATGTTGTTAGTGAGAGCCTGCTTTGTGCAAATTCTGCTGTATTTCCTACGTTACAACAGTAACTAACTTGATCCAACAGATCATTTGTTGGATTATACCTGGAATGAGTGGATTGTTTTATGAGGATAAATTGGACAGGCTGGGCTGATTTCCCCTGGAGTTTAAAAGAGTGAGAGGTGACTTGAATGTTACGTTTAAGATCTCGAATGTTCTTCACGAGGTCAACATGGAAAGCATGTCTTCTCTTGTGGGTCAGTCCAGAACTTCGGCAGTGGGGGGGTACTGCTTTAAAATTGGGGGGTCTTGCTTTCAGGAAAAAGATAAAGAGATTTTGTTTTTCTCTCTCAGAGGGTTGTGTGACTTCAGAAAGCAGTGGAGGTTTGTTCATTACATAATTTTAAGAGAAAATGTGGATAGATTCTTGTTAGGCAGGGAAATAAGAAGTTATTGGGGATACAAGGGGTATGGAATTAAAAACAACACACCTAATTGAATGGTGGTGCAGCCTCAATGGGCTGAATGGTATACTTCTGCTCCTAGTTCATACGTTTGGATGTTTCATGTGATGCTTCTAGTGTCTGGATGAAGGGAATTAGCATGTTTTATCTTTATGCATGCAGTCATCACACCCCATCAGTACACTGTCTCTCCATTCAGATCATCTTCTCTGCATTTGCCTCTCAACTCAAAACAGGAAAATACATGGGTACAGGGTGCCTCAAAGCCCTAGGCGAAAATCTTACAGTAACATGCAGGAGGATTTGCCCACAGACATGCAATGTGCATGCCCACTAACATGGACATATTCTGACACTCGTGAATAAGCTCCCAGCTATGGACAAACAGTACCATTGCCATGTCAGTACCTTAGTAGGCTGGAGGGCTAAAGAATATACCTTGACTTAAAAAATCTGGAGTGGAGTCGAAAGCCAGGCTGATGTCTAAATGTGTCAAAGTTCTGGCAAATCCTGCAAGCAAGTTAACGTCAAGAGTAATTTTTTCATGAAAACAGCAATGGCAGTATTTTATTTACAATGTTTTACATTCCTTTGGACTCAACTGGAAGGTCAAGAGGATATTGTGATGTGTGGGCAGTCAAGGATTTCCATAAACTTTCAAATAAAATCAAAATACTGCGGACGCTGGAGCCTGAAATAAAATCCAGAAGTTCTGGAAAAGATCAGCAGTTCTGGCAGCATCTGTTGAGAGAGAGAAATTGAGAATTAATGCTTTAATTTAATGCTTCTTTGCAACTGAAACAAGGTGAAAAATTTATGGTTTCTATATTGTACTGGGTGGGGGGGGGTGTGGGTGGGCGGAGGAGCAACTGAAACAAAAAGGAAAGCCGGGAAAGATGTCACAGATGTTAAGGAATTTTTCAATCGGAGGTACATGTTCAATGGGGCTTCACCTGTAATTGGGCCTCACAAAGTTCGTAGCTAAGTATAATTATTCAACCTTATGCCTGTACAAAACAAATCATTTTGTACTCATACATTCTTTGAAAGAAATCAAGTTGAAGAATAATTTAAATTTCTGTTTGAATAGCAGAATTCTTTGAAAGCATATCAGAAAATCTACAGCCTTTATAGAAACCCTTTAATACTATACTTTCATATTTCTTCCAAAGTGTTTTTGTTAAATATGCAGTGATATAATTGGCTTATTCCTTTTTCACTCAACTTCCCCCACACATTGCTGAAACACATTTAGAGGAAACCAAGGGATATTATAATATTAAGATGTTTTCAATGTTACTAAATGGTAAGGCTTTCAGTAATAGTAGTTACTGAGCCTGCACAATAATTACCACATTTTGAAAGATACTTCTCTTCACAAAATAATAGCTAAAAACTGGTCAGAGTCCATAGGCAATTCCCATCCTGACTTTTTCTTCCAGTCACTTTAGACTTACTACATAATTTTCCCCAGCATGTCCATCCACCTAAAGAAATTTCCCTAGTTGCAGGGGAAGGCAATGGCTCATTTAAACTTGGCGCTGTTTCTGTATTGGGGCTTATGGAACTTAAAGCAGCATTAAAATTGAGCCATTAGTGTACCTGACTTTCACCCTCTGTACATTTCCCTTCTATTGTTTCAGAAATTTAGTCGTCATATTCACCTCATGCCAATTTTCCTCTGAAGTTGAGAATGTTGATAAAACTCAAGGCTGTCTTAATAAATACAATGGGAGTTAATCTATTGGTAAATAAAAACCGATAGAACTACGGATGCTGTAAATCAGGAACAAGAACAAAGTCGCTGGAAAAGCTCAGCAGGTCTGGCAGAATCTGTGCAGGAAAAAAACAGAGTTAACCTTTCGGGTCCAGTGAACTGAGGAAGGGTCACCAGACTTGAAACGTTAACTCTGTTTTTACCTCCACAGATGCTGCCAGACCTGCTAAGCTTTTCCAACAACTTTGTTCTTGTTCTTAATCTATTTGTTACTTATTTCTTTCTGCTGCTTCTATATCTATTCTGCAGTTGCCTAAACACTGTCCCTAAGCTAATTCTTTCCAATAAATTTAAACTAGTATAGATGTGGTGTTAAGGTTGTGTTTAATTTTTGCTGACTAATTCATGTTGAACAAGGAAGTTAATTCAGCAATGATTTAATTGTCACAATGTGTTCATTCTCCAATTTAAAGCTTGTTGTTAAACACCAAGCAGAGCCATCAGAGTTAATAACCAGCACAGCATATATTACCTTAAGAATGTGGATTTTGGCAAATTCTGAAGCAGTGCTATTCCATCACGTCTGGCGATTTCTAGCAAGAAGAAGAAGAACAACAAAAGAAAATCATAACTTAGATGATTCCACGTCATGAGAGGCAAATGGTCATTGTCCTATTCTAAGAAGAAGCACATAACTCAGACTGCACTGAGGAAGTCATTTGACTCATTGTGTCTGCTTCAGCTATCTGGATCAACTCCAATTCCACTGGTCCCACTCCTGCCATATTCTTACAATCCTACGACTTTTTAATCTTATTAAAATTGGTGCTTATACAGTTCCAGTTAGCTCAGTAGGCTGGACAGCTGGTTTGCATTTGAGCGATGCCAGCAGCATAGGTTCAATATCTGTTCGGGCTGAGGTTACCATCAACGATTTTCCTTCTCAAACTCTCCCCTTAGGTTAAACCAGCACCGCTTATCTCTCTCTTTCTCTCTAATGAGGGAGTAGCCCTATGGTATAGTAGGACTATGGTGGCTTTACATTTTGCTTTATTAAACTCCCTTTTGATTGAACCTGCCTCCACACCACACTTTTATCTTGTGAATTTCTGATCCTACATACTCTTAGCTGAAAAAGCTTTTACTCATCTTGCCACTGCTTCTTTTTAGCATTAATTGCAAATTGGTGTCCTCTGGTTCAACTCCTTCCTGAGCAGGACAGTTTCTCATTTTCTATTCTGTCTAGTCCTCTCATGGTTTTGAATAGGTTTATCAAATATTTTCTCAAAACTTCCCTTCTTGACAGAGAACACCCCTAGTATCTCCAATCTCGCTTCATAATTTAAATCCTTCTTAAGATCATGTTCACAAATTATCCCTGGATGCTCTCTAATGCTTTCACATCTTTCCTAAAGTGCACTGTCCAAAAATGGACACAATATTCTCGTTGAGGTCAGACCAGTTGTTATGACTCACTGGTCAAGCTCTGCTGTTCTCAGAGTCAAGTTAAAGATTTTTATAAAGTTCACAAAGTTCCTCAATTTACCCGATTTTTAGATCCAGGTTAATAGAAACCATGGACTAAGTTTCTGTGCTGAACAAGAATAACTACTCATTACAGGTTGCTAGGACTGAAGGGATTGAGTTATAAGGAGAGGGTGGATAGACTGGGACTATTTTCAATGGAGCAAAGGAGGCTAAGGGGTGACCTTATAGAGATTAATAAAATCATGAGGGACATAAATAAGGTGAATGACAAAGGTCTTTTCCCTAAAGTGGGGCAGTTAAAACTCGAGGGCATATTTTTAAGGTGAGAGGAGAAAGTTTTAAAGAGGACATGGGGACAATGTTTATACACAGAGAGTGGTTCGTGTGTGGAATGAACTGCCAGAGGAAGTTGGAACGCAGGTATATTTACAACATTTAGAAGACATTTGAATAAGTGAATGAATAGGAAAGGTTTAGAGGGATACGGGCCAAATGCAAGTAAATGAGACTAGTTTAATTTGGGAACATGGTCAGCATGGACTAGTTGGACCGAAGGGTCTATTTCCATGAGTATAACTCTATGGCTCCAAGTAATTAGACTCTAGCTACAGTTATAAACCATTGACAATTAACACTACCAATTAAAACACTCATCCCCTTATAAACTCCCCTTTGCACACACACATACAGATGACAGAAAACCAAATGGGGTAAATAGCTTATGGGTAGATCGGGAATAATGGAAAGACAGTTCAGTAGTTTTTGGTCCTGGGCTTATGGCTGAGATGATCTTTATGATTCATCTGCTGTCCAGCACATTGCCTCAGTTGTGTTTCTTTGATGCTTCCACTTGATGGTAACAGACACATGGTGGCTGACTTATCAGTTAAAAGTCACAGCTTACAATTACTGCAGGAAAGAGTAACTGGTTTTCTTCAAGTTTATGCGTATTTTGACTGCACAAACTGCAGAGACAGCTCCTGAGCTAGGGAAGAACTGAATATATCCCTTTCTCCATAACCTGCTCCCAGGTCCAAGCTATCAGTTACCTGAGAACCAATCGTACAGTTGTTGGCAGGCAAAAATATCTCTGTTAATGATAATTAGACACTAGTCCATAGACTAATCAACTTCTTGTTGCCTGCAAAAACTGCATCTGTACAATCCCTCAGCTGCAATTTAAACTTCAATTACTGCTTGTTCAAACAATTATTTACATAATGCTTGACATGGGTGTCAGATTAGTTGTTTCCAAAACATACAGCTATACCCTTAAACACCAGTTTTAGAAACACTCTTTCTCATTTCAGTCCACAAGTTTTAAAAGCACAAATTAAAATAGACATGGAACAAAAAAAACCCAAAGACTGCAGATGCTAGAAATCAGAAACAAAACCAGAAATTGCTAGAAACACTTTGCAGGTCTGGCAGTATCTGTGGAGAAAAAGTTTCCGGTGTTCTGAAGAAGGGTCACTGGACCCGAAACATTAACTCTGCTTTCTCTTCACAGATGCTGCCAGACCTACTGAGTGTTTTGGGTCGAGTGACCCTTCCTCAGAACTGAAGTAATTAGCAATGCTAATTGAATGTTTTAACTTATTGCAATGAGAATTGAATACAAAAGTGAGGAGATTATCCTTCAGTTAGGAAAGGCATTTCTGAGACCACATCTGAAGTAAATGAATACAATATTGCTCTCCTTATTTAGAAAATCAATTGAAATATGTTTGGAAGCAGTTCAGGAAAGGTTTACTGGACTAAAACCTGGATGGTAGGTATTTCTTGGGCAGACTTGTATCCACTGGAGTTCAGAAGAATAAGAGGTAATCTGATTGTGACATACAAGACCTTGATGGGTCTTGACATGGTGAATATTGAAAGGATGTTCACTCTTGTGGGAGAACCTGTAAGGAGGGGTCATCGTTTAAAAATAAGGGATCGTCCTTTCAAAACGGAGTTGTGGTAAATTGTTTTTCCTCAGAGGATCCAGAGTCTGGAACTTTCTTCCTCTACATTGCAAGTAGATGCCTTTGAATACTTTTAATGCAGAGTAGATAGATTGTTAACAAGCAAAGGGCTGAAAGATTATTGCGGGTAAGCGAGAATGTGGAGTAATCAGCCAAGATCTTACTCAATGGTGGAGCTGGTTTGAGAGAAGGAAGAACAAACAAGGAGTATGACTTACCAGAGACTACGGCAGAATACCAAGGTAAAGAGAGATTTAGGTATTCGAGTGAATGGGTCACAAATAATTAGTAAGCAGGGACCACACATAATCAGTGGAAAGCTATCCTTTATCATGAGAGGAATTGAACATATATGTAAGGCTGTTATGCTTCAGTAATACAGGGCCTTGGTGACAACACATTGCAAATACTGACTGCAGTTGTCGTCTCCTTTCAGGATGGATTTAAATGCATTGGTGGTGGTACAGTGGAGATTTACTAGATTGATTCCTGGAATGAGTGGATTATGTAATGAGGTTCGGTTGGACAGGCTGCACTTGTTTCAACTGGAGTTTAGAAGAGCGAGGAGTGACCCCTCTGTCAATCAGCTTAGAACTTATGGGCACTGTTTTAAAATTAGGGGTGACTAAGGACAGAGATGAGGATTTTATTTTCCTCAAAGGCTTGTGATAATTTGGAATCCTCTGCCTTAGAAGGAGGCGGATGTGCTGTCAATGAATATTTTTTAGTAGAGAGTCAGATATATTTTTGTTAGGGAGGGGAATCATGGTTCTCAGGGGTGATTCGGAATGTGGAATTCCAAAAATAATCAGATCAGCCATGGTTTTATTGAGTTGTAGAGCTGGGGCTGAATGGTCTACTTCTGTTCCTATTTCTTATGTTTTTGCGTCTGTAAAGAGGTTATAGTAAATCTAATACGAAAATGTGGATTACTACATCAAATAAATTATACATGTTACGAATTTCCAGACTAACTAAAGTAACTACGTAGGGAAATGCAGAGCACTGCTATTCATGAAACAACGGTCTGGTTTCTGCTGCTTTGATTTATGAAACGCTCCCATTACACAAATCATTTGTATGAATAAATGAATAACAGAGATTCCCCAAAAGTTCAGTTATTCACATCCTTTGAAAAATCGAGCTATTTTGTTTAGTTTTGGAAATTGTTCCATTGAGGCTTTTGAAGTTAGAGATTGCAAAATAAAGTCCATATGACCATAATGAGGTATTGCATTTTGTTCAACAAACAATGGTAGGCCTTATACAGTTAATGATAGGGCCTTAGGTAGTGTTGTAGAATGAAGTTTGCATCACATATAGACAGAGTGGTTATAAAGGAGTTTGGCACTTCATTACTCAGCCCTTTGAGTACAGGAATTGGGAAGTCATGTTGAAGTTGTACAGGACATTGGTGAGACTTCTTTTGGAATACTGTGTCCACTTCTGGTCACCCAGTTACAAGAAGGATGTTATCAAGCTGGAGAGGGTTCAGAAGAGATTTACCAGGATGTTGCCAGGTATGGAAAGTGTGAGTTATAAAGAAAGGCTGGATAGGCTGGGACATTTTTCACTGGAGCAGAGGAGGTTAAGAGACAACCTGAAAGACATTTATAAAATGATAAAAGGTATAGACTGAGTTAATGGTAGTTGTCTTTCCCCTAGGATGGGAGATTTCAAGATTAGGGAGCACATTTTTAAGGTGAGATGAGAGAGATTTAGAAATGACATAACAGGCAAATTTTTTACAGAGTGTGGAATGAAATTCCTGAGGAAGTGGTGGATGCGGGTACAATTACAACATTTAAAAGACATTTGGATAGAAGCATGAATAGGAAAGGTTTGGAGGGATATGGGCCAGGAGCAGGCACGTGGGACTAGTTTAGTCTGGCATGGACTGGTTGGACCTAAGGGTCTGTTTCCGTGCTGTATGACTCTATAATGATTAGCTATCGGGAATCAAATATTCTGAATCATTAAAATGCACTGTTGCAGTGTTGTACAATTGTTATAAAAAACATTTCCTTGAAATATAGCTCCGATTTACTTGGAATATGCCAGATGATGTGAATGTACTGACAAGTTATATTTTACAGGTCTAAATATGTGAGGGATTTGGAAGAAAAATAATTAATCAAATATTATCCCACCTTAAATTCCAGAATCTACACACTTGGATTATTGGCATACACAAAATAATTAATTTAAATTCAAAAGAAACTAACCAGCTTTTTAGACTCTCAGTTACATTTTACCTTCCCCAGGCTCATGTTGTGTAACTAGACTTTTAGCATTTCCGCCCCCACAGCAAATCTGCACCCACCTGTGCCAACCCAATCAATTCTGAGAGGGTGTTCGATTGATGCACAGTGCAACCGGACCAATGAAATGCTGACACCTGATAGCATTCAAGTGCATCTGTTCAGCCTTCTCTAGGACATTCTGCACCACACGCCCACTTGTCACTAGCAATGAAAATAAGCAGCAGGTGGTAGGAAATAAGGGTTGGCCTATCTACAAAACTGTTCACTATTGATGTTCAGAATTGTCTTTTATATTAAAAAAGTTGGACTTGACTCCAAACCCCTAACCCAGCACCAACCACCACCCCCTGCCCTGCAAAACCCTGATGTTTTGCCTCTTGTGCACCATCTTCTTTTAGGACCTAACATGGAGGAGGAAATTCAGAGATTGTGGGATAAATTAAGCAGAAGACCTCCAATGGAAAGAGCAAATGAAATGGAATGGTATATGGTACTTAAATCAATCAAGTATAAAGCACTACATATAGGAAAAGAATAAAGGGGTCCACGTATGGACTCAATGAAAGTTGTTGCAATGGCTTTAAGAATAGCTGCATATCACTGAATAATTCTACCACAATAGGCTTAAAACCTTCAAACCTAAGGAAAGCTTGAGCCAATTCTACCACAGAGTCCTCCTCAGTTTCCCAACAAGAGAAATCTGCAAAACAAACTGACCAAATGATGAGATAGCAAGAACTGCAGATGCTGGAGTCAGAGATAACAAAGTCCGGAACAAAAACGGAGTTGCTGGAAAAGCTCAGAAGGTCTGGCAGCATCTGTGAAGGAAAAAACAGAGTTAACATTTCGGGTCCGGTGACCCTTCCTCAGAACTTAGGAAGGTGAACTCTGTTTTTTCCTTCACAGATGCTGCCAGACCTGCTGAGCTTTTCCAGTAACTTTGTTCTTGTTCCTGATTTACAGCATCCGCAGTTCTTTTGGTTTTTATAACAAAGTGTGGAGCTGGAGGAACACAGTAGGCTAGGCAGCATCAGCGGAGCAGGAAAGCTGACGTTTCGGGTTGGAACCCTTCTTCAGAAATGGGGAGGGGGAGGGGAGCTCAGAAATAGAGAGAGGACGGGTGGGGCTGGAGAAGGTAGGTGGGATGGTGACAGGTGGGTGCAGGTAGGGAGTGGTCAAGATTTGTCAGTGAAGTGGGAGAGAAGATGGACAGGTTGTGTCAGTCAGGGAGGCGGGGATGACAGGGTGGGTTGGACATGGGATGAAGCCGGGGTGGGGAAATTTTGAAACTGGTAAAATACACATTCAGGCCATCGGGCTGTTGGCTCTCGAGGCGGAATATGAGGTGCTGCTTTTTCAGTTTGCGGGTGTCGTTATTGTGACACTGGAGGAGGCCCAAGATGGATATGTCACCCAGGGAGTGGGAGGGGTGTTAAAATGTTTTGCGACTTATTGTTTGTCACATACAGAGCACAGATGTTCTACAAAACGGTCATCGAGTCTTTGTTTGGTCTTGCTGATGTAGAGGAGGCCACATCGGGAGCAGCGGATGCATCGACCAAATTGATGACCATGCAGGTGAACTCATGTCTGATGTCGAAAGTTTGTTTTTTGTCTTGAATGGAGTTGAAGGGGGAGGTGCAGGGGCAGATGTATCACTTCCTGCGTTTGTGGGGAAAGTGCCGGGGGTGTTGGGGCTAGTGGGGAGTGTGGAGTGGACGAGGGAGTCGTGGAGAGACCGGTCCCTACAAAAGGCATATAGTGGTGGGGAGGGAAATATACCTTTGGTTGTGGGGTCAGATTGTAGGTGGCAGAAGTGGCGGAGAATGATACATTGGATGTGGAGGTTAGTGGGATGATATGTGAGGACAAGGGGGATTCTGTCTTTATTTTTGTTTTTGTTTGGGGCAGCGATGTGAGAGCAGAGGTGTGGGAAATGCAAGAGATGGGTTTGAGGGCATTTTCAATCACTGGAGGGGGGACATTACGGTCCTTGAAATAGGATGACGTCTGGGATGTGCGGGAGTAGATTCTTGTTTATTTCCCAACAGCTACTTGCATAAATTTGTCTGGTGGGATTTCAGAGAGACCTAGGAGTTGAAATATCTCAAGCCACATTTCTGAAGCAGTGAGTTAGTTTTCTAATTCGCCTTGTTACCTAGGATAAAACTCAGCAACTCTAATTTTCCTAAATTTAAAATTGATTTTAGCATGCATTCAAACAACATTAAGATTGTAAGATACTAGCCCTGAATTTGCCAGAAGAGTAATTGCAAGTTGAATGTGCGATCATTCTTAGTGTATAAATAACCCAACAAATCAGAGTGAGGAAGATTTGCCTTGATCTGCAAATTGCCAGGATGATTTGTGCCAGTCTGCATTAGTCTTGTTAAATGGAACAATTTGCTAGTGATCTAGGGCTGCAGATAATTAAGGCTGGTACATAACAGTAAGACCATTTTTAATAATGAGATTTCTGTTACTGCATTGTCATTTAATCCCAACCCAGAAAGGAACAACTAAAATTGAGTTTCATTCTTGCAGGTTGTTGTTCTTGTTTGACCAGTTTTCACTCGATTTATTTCTGTCATTTGTTTCTTTTCCTATCCTTACATTTCACCAAAGAGATACACTGTTGGTTCTGTCATACATGAAGATCACCAGATGCCCGTTTACTAGTGACAGATCACGCTTTCACCAATTCTTGGACAAAAAAATGTTTTGAGCTGAGGTCCAAGGGAAAAAAAAACTAACAAACTGCACAACAGTTGATTTTCTTTTCCAGAAAATTGTGTAAATCAATGAAGTTTACTTACCTTAGCTGACATCTCTTTTTGTAGCACTGGTGGCTGGACATTAGTACAACTATCAGAATTGCTACCAGTACTAGAACAATCCAAGTATGGTGCTGCAAGTTTTTTGGTGATGTGTGTGCTGCAAAGAGATAAAAGGGAAATATAAGTATCCCAGTTGAAAATTGGAATTAAATACACAGAGAGTGGGAGACCAGTAAAATACCTTGCATTCTCTTGCATACCTCACCAATCTGAAATTTTACAGGGAGTGGGTGTTTTCAGCTCATTTGGAATATTGAGGCTGCTGGGAGCAGATTACAGATGGGGAGGAAGCCCCTTGTGTCACTTGACATGGGCCTCAGATGAGGTTTCTCCACCCTGGATGCTCCCTCCATGCCTGATATTGCCATTGTGACCCCCTCGCTCCTCATCATGCCCAAGTTTCCCATTCTGTTTGCCGTTTTATGTTTCATGGTCAGTATACTTTTAAGAGACATGCATAATATCATCGTGAGTGCATGATAGCATCCAAGTGTGTGACCCAAGTTGTAAGGATCTCAGACTCATTTAAAGCATAGCATGATAACATGTATGTTGTTCTATTTTTAACTTAATAGCTCAATATGAGCCCAAACACTGATTTGCCTGTGAATGTAATATTTGTAGATATTAGTGAGCTGTAATAATCATTGTTGGATTCTTCAAAAAACACAGTATCTCTGTCTATTTTGAGGTTAACATTAGCATTCCCACATCAGATAAAATACCCTGTTGGAGGCAAAACCCACAAGACTCCACACCTATCTTTACGTTTTGGGTTCCAGCATTTTAAATCAGAGGACTGCCTGTATTCCCACCAGTAACAACCACTCTGGGTGGCGCTGCTGGACCGACAGAGCTGCCAACCAATCAGACTGAGTCACAGTTCTGAAGTGGGAATTCTGCCTCCTCCAGCCAATTAATCTCCTCTGAGTATTAATGGCTATGCAGATATCCTGATCAATGGGAATGCATTACATTCTCTGCAGAATCTTTGAGTGGTGGTGCAGGAAACCATGCCATCTGAAAATTCCTGCTCCCTTGTGTGTTTTTTTATTTTGTTTGTAGGATAATTGGTTACGAATTTGGATCAGATAATCCTGGTTTAAAGTTAATCATTCAGAAATTTAAAAATGTAAATACTACCCCAGAAATCTGTTTTTCAGAAATTGAAATCCATTTTTCCCTACCACCTGATATCTGCATTTTTCGATTAAGCTTTACAAAGAATTTACTTCATTAGGAGACAAATAAAAAAGGAAAAAATCTATCTCCTCTTTAATTGAATGTTGCATCCAGTGTATTGTAAGATTGCCAAGATACTGGTCCCAGCAGCAGGGAAATGTTAAAGATATTTCTCAGGCCAACTTCCTTCTTGATCCAGGGCATACACAGGAACCTTGAGTTCCCAAAGTCATGGAGTCATACAAGGTGGAAACAGACTCTTTGGTCCAACTTGTACATGCCGACCAAGTTTGCCAAACTAAACTAGTCCCATTTGCCTGTGCTTGGCCTATATCCCTCTGAACATTTCCTATTCAAGTACCTGTCCAAATGTCTTTTAAATGTTGTAACTGTACCTGCATCTATCACTTCCTTTGGCAGTTCATTCCAAAAACACAACCCTCTGTGTGGAAAATGTTGCCCCTCAGGTCCCTTTTAAATTTTCCACTCTCACTTCAAACCTATGTCCTCTAGTTTTGAACTCCCCCACCCTAGCTAAAAAAAATTCTTTGCTATTCACCATATCTATGCTTATCATGTTTTTATAAACTTCTGTAAGGTCACCCCTGAAATTCCTGTGCTCCAGTGAAAAAACTCCCAACCCATCCAGTTGCTAACCCAACCCCAATGGTCTCAGTAACATCCTTGTAAATCTTTACTGCACCCTTTCCAATTTAATAACATCGTTCCTATAGCAGAAGACCCGAAATGCATGCAGTAGCCCGGAAGTGGCCTCAGCAATATCCTGCTCGGCCACAACGTGACATCCCAACTCAATGCTCTGACCAATGAAGGTAAGCATGGCAAATACCTTCATCACCATCCTGTCCACCTGTGGCGCCACTTTCAAGGAAGTATGTGCCTGAACCCCTGGGTCTCTCTGTTTGGCAACACTGCCCAGGGCCTTACAATTAACCATATAAGTTCTGCCCTGATTTGCCTTACCAAATGCAACATCTCACATGTATCTAAACTCCATTTGCCTCTCCTTGGTCTAGTGGCCCAGCTGATCAAGATCCTGTCGTCCTTGTAGATAACCTTCTCCACTGCCCGCTACATCACCAATTTTGGTGTCATCCGCAAACTTACTAACCATGCTTCTTATATTCTCTTCCAAATTGTTTATATAAATGAAAAACAACAGTGGACCCAGCATCGATCCCTGCAGAACACTGCAGCTTCCTGCCTTCCAGTCCAAAAACCAAAATTCTACCCTCTGTCTCCTACCAAAGTCCCAGAAATGTTTTATATGTATCAAATTGTAAACAGTTGTGCTATAAACTCTCTTTCTCCTTCTGAGATGCAAGTGAATTGGGATCAATGATAGGTAATTAGCATTTACTAGATATAAGGATAAGGTGTCTCACATTTGCTTCCTCTGCCTTCTTTCCCATGGCAATCTTGAGATCATAAGTTATAGGCTTCCCTAGCTATTGATGTCTATCTCAGATAGACAGCAATCATTTGATTTGCAGAGAGAAGCAGATGCTGTGTTTTGTCAGCTACCAAAGCTGGATACAGGAGGGGAAAGTCTCTGGTTAGAGTGAAGCATCCTGCATCAGGACCGTGTGAGGATAGCACCCTAAGACAGGGAGTTAACATTACCAAGAGCAGCAGTCAAGAAACAGGCAGTCAGAGATGGAGCTAGATTCACTAGGGATGATTGTTAGCAGAGGTGCAACAGGGAAAGGTTGCTCTCTAAGGATTTTTAGCTATAGTGTACTGAGGGCTAGAAAATATAGTACCCGGGCACTTCGTGCCTCACAAATAATGTATGGGGTAAATCAAGAGCATTGGAAATGTATTGAAGCACTTCAGTGTAAAACATATTATATAGAGCACTTTCTGGAAGAAATACTTTCACCAAGCTGTATAGCTGCATGCGCTCCAACATCCCACTCATGGCGACTGGTGTGCTGATGCTGTTTGCAGCATTGACTTCTGGTTTTGGAAGTCACTGTTGCGTATGGACCCAAGGTGCTCACAAAAGAAGAAAAAGGAAATTAGGCGGAACACTGTCTGTAAGTTGTAATTTGAAATGTTTTGCCCTTGGGCTGCACACCTGATTCCTATTTGGATGAGTGCTGTCTGGAGGGTGGATGAGCTGACCATAGTATCATGACAGACAGCCATTCAATTGGGTGAGCAATACAGATGTAGCAATAGGTGATAGAGTAGTGAGGTGGATTGAAACCATTCCCTGTCGCAAAGAATACCACGTCAGACAGCAGTGTTGCATGCTCAGTGTCATGATTCAGGACATCTACTCAGGGCTGAAGAGAAACTTGTAGTGAGACGAGCGGAGGATCCAGTGGTCCTGGTGCATGTAGGTACCAATGAGAAAGGTTGATTGAGGGAAATAGCTGCATTCCTGATGTGGAATGTATTTGCAAAATTAGGCGACTGCAAACAATTGTACTTGCATTTTCTTGAAAAGAACAGTAATATTTAAATTGAAATGTTCATGTAATACTTTTGTTTACAGATTTTATGAATAAAGTATATTTTTGCATAAAATAATTCTACAGAGAAAGGAACAAGCTGTTTGGTGAGTCTCTGGTACCTGGTTAAGCTATTTTCTATTCTTAAGCTTTAGCATTGTATACAAATTGATGGTAAAGTTAATACAATATATAAAAAGCAAGAGAAATTCATGAATATTTAATTACATTAATTGAAGCTCATTAATGATGTCAGTTAATATGCCAAGGTTTATCATGCGGGAGCTCCTGGATACCATTTATGATCCAGGGCAGACACCTTTTCGGTAAGTGTTTAAAGTTCAAGCAGTTTTGACTCAGAGTTTATTGAATGGAGACTGAACTACAGGCACTTACATACCAGAGACAGAGATAGTTACTTGGATTCTTTCCACCAGAAGGCAGTCACACTAATAAGGGTAGGGTATTGTAATTTGATCAGTGCTCAGGGACAGGAAAACGTGACTGTGAGTGACGGAGCTATGGAATGAAGGCAGAGTGACAGTCTCTGCAATTGTCCATAGAGTTTGAGGTTTTCTCAGGGTGTTTGGATGAGGCTGTGGGCTGCAGGGTGAATATGCAAACTGACCATGGTATTGGAAGCCATTCAAATGGGGGAGCAGAAAGAAATATAGTCATAGTAGGTGATACTATAGTGAGAGCATTGACACTGTTCAAAGAAGGAGTGAGAGTCTTACAATAAAGTTTCCTGCCCAGGTCAATGGTTCAGGAAATCTATTCAGAGTTGAAAAGGCACTTGCAGGGGAGGATACAGTAGTCGAAATCTATGTTGGCACCAATGACACAGAGAGATGGTGGCACGGTGGCTCAGTGGTTAGCACTGCTACCTCACAGCGCCAGGGGCCCAGGTTCGATTCCAACCTCAGGCAACTGTCTGTGTGGAGTTTGCACATTCTCCCCGTGTCTGTGTGGGTTTCCTCCAGGTGCTCTGGTTTCCTCCCACAGTCCAAAGATGTGCAGGCTAGGTGGATTGGCCATGCTAAATTGCCCATAGTGTTCAGGGATGTGTAGATTAGGTGGTTATAGGGGGATGATTCTGGGTGGGATCCTCTGAGGGTCAGTGTGGACATGTTGGGCCAAAGGGCCTGTTTCCACACTATAGGGATACTAAGGAAAAAAACTAAGACTAAAAAGATCTAGGAAAGAGGTGCAGCATAGAGAATGTGAGAAGCTGAGTGTTAAATTAAAATGCAAAACCTTGAAGTTTATAAACTCTGGACTATCACCTGAGCTTCCTGTAAATTAGCATAGAGTACATGAAATTAGAGAAGTGAATATGTGGTTCAAAGACTGGTACAGGAGAAGTCATTAAATATTTTTATGGCGGAATGGATAATAGAGTTCTGGTGGAAGGTCAACGATGTGAATTGAAAACTCTAAATCTCTCTCTTCACAGCTAATTACTGATCTGCTAAATATTTACAGTAATTTTGTCTTATTATTTAACTTATTGGTACTGTAATGAAGTTCACTTTCTTGGTTTCAAGCTTTTTTACATACATATTTATAGTCAGTCTTACCAAATACAGTGAGGCATGTCTTCCCGATGTTTTGGCCAGTTCTCGATGTATTAAAGACACAGTGATAACATCCTTCATCTTCAAGCCTTACTCCAGACAGTACAATAGTAGATACTTGTACCCTTGATGGTTTGAAAGCAGCTCTACCACTAAATGACACCGAAAAACTGCCTCCATTTTTTTCACTAAATGTAGCAATATTATCCTCAGATTGACCATTTAACTTTTGCCAAGTGACCTCTAGGATATCTTTTAAATAAGACGTGCAGCTGAAGGTTACATTTCCACCTAAAACTGCTGTGATATTCTCCTGTGTCTCCACGTTTACATCCTTTGCTGTGGAATAAAAAAAAATTAACTGTATCAATTGTTACATAAATAATTTTCAGCAAAGTATTTTGAGGTTTACATACTGGACAAATTAGTATGTTCACATCATGGACAAATTATATCAGGGTGGCTCTCAGCGACAGCACACTCACCTCTGAGTCAGAGTTGGTTCAAGTTGCATTCCAGCGAATGACTTTAGACTGACCCTATCAGTGCTGAGAGACTATTGTACTATTGGAGGTGCTCTCTTTCAGGTGAGATGCTACATACAAGCCCCATCTGCCTTTTTGGTAGAAAGTAAGAGATAGCATGACCGTCCTTGATGAAGAATGGGGAAGTTTACCTTAGTATCTGGTCAATATTAATGCCTCTGCCAACTGTATTAAAACAGATTCCCTCAACTTTCTCAGTTCATTACAGGCAAATCAATCGTTGTCACATTCTGTTAGATGCTGCTACCTTTTTGCTTCTTTTTATGAATATAGTCAGAAGGAGTAGAAGCACTGAACATCATCTTCAGAGAGAAGATTGCCTTATCCATTGTGTATGATTGCCATCTCCACTATGCCGTTGGCCACATTTTAATTAAAAATAATGCCCAATTATACCTGGACTTATCATAGAATCCCTACAGTGTGGAAACAGGCCCTTTGGCCCATCAAGTCCACACTGACCCTCAGAGCATCCCACCCAGAACCATCCCCCTACTCTTTCCCTGTAACCCACGTAATCTACACATCTCTGAACACTATGGGCAATTTAGCATGGCCAATCCACCTAGTCTGCACATCTTTGGACTGTGGGAGGAAACCGGAGCACCCAGAGGAAACCCATACCGATACAGGGAGAATGTGCAAACTCCACACAGACAGTGGTCCAAGGCTGGAATCAAACCCAGGTCCCTGGTGCTGTGAGACAGCAGTGCTAACCACTGAGCCACCATGCCATGCCCTTCTTGTGCAAGAATTAACTGTAAGACCCATGTGCTTTAAATAACACCCACTGTCCTAAGTTCTGTGCATATTTCAGTATGTTTTTGGTCCCTTGTTACTGTATTATAATTAATCCAATTTTTTTTCAATTCAAACTATAATGCCTTAAGATCTATCATATTATTTCTGGCCAGATTTAGCAGCAATAATGGCAGAGAAAACTGATAGAAAATTAGATAATAAGTTTAATACATTTCCCCTCATTTTCTGTGGTACTTTCCATTTCCTACAAAAAATTTCAGGAAAAATATTGGGACTGATTTTTGTGGAAATTTGGCTGTTGCTTGTTAAGTGTTTGTTAGTGAGCTGTGAGAGAAATATCTGGCATTATTCTGATGCTCTTAAAATGTATGTTTCCTAACATGTTCTCTAGGACAGAGGTGCACAACAGTTTACCTATAATCTGCTTACACTGATGAGCAGTAAGCTGTGATGAACCTCTGATTCACTGCTCAGATATATTCTTTCCTTATTGCAAATGAGATATTTCACCTTCTAAATAATAAATCATTACAATTAAGCTGGAATCAAGACATTACCTTTCATACAACTTTCATTGGAAACAGACAACGTATGCAACTTTCAAGACTTATAACAGTTTAAACCTTGCAATTTATAGCATTTCAAGGCAAAAGTAAGATAGGCATAAGAAGATTACTTAATTCAAACAGGAAGCAACTTTCATGCAATTTTACATTGTCCAAATGAGATAATGGATATGTGGGATAAAGAAATTAAGAATTTCAGGTCAATTATTGCAATTAGAAAGAAATTTAATCAATTAAATGTTGAAAGAGTTGAAGAGACAGTAATACATCTATTCAATTCACATCGAGAAAAAAAGCGTGATCTTGGTTGTTGAATGAGAAATTCCTGACTGAAGTAGTCACGTGTGGACTGTGGAAGGAGATGGTTTGGAGTATGGACCACCTTTTTTGATTTCAAGCTTTCTCATATTCTTATTTGTATTAGTCTTACCATGTACAATCAGGCAGGTCTTCCCAATCTTATTGCCATCTAGGAATGTAGTAAAAACACAATGATAACATCCTTCATCTTCAAACATCACTCCAGACACTACAAGGGTGGACATTTGCAGCTTTGATTGTACGAAAGTAGCTCTACCACCAAATGACTCAAGTACATGGGCTCCATTTTTTTCACTAAATGTAGCAATATTATCCTCAGATTGACCATGTAACTTTTGCCAAGTGACCTGTACAATGTCTTTAAAATGTAAAGTGCAGCTGAAGGTAACATTTCCGCCTAAAGATGCTGTAACAGTCTCCTCCGTTTCCACATTCAGAGAAATTCCTGTGAATACAAGAAAATTATAGAAAAACACATTAATATTTCCACACCATCTGCGGAGTTTCATCACCAATAAATTATTCAGAGTTTTTCAAATTATAGTGGACTAACCATTACTCAGCAATCTTGTGTTGGAGTCAGAAGATTGTAAATCAGATTCCTAAAGGTTTGACTGCAAACTCTAGCATGATACTACCAATTCAGTGGACAGAGAGTACTACACTACTGGACACTAGAAATTAATGCAAGTTCCCATCTGCCCTCAGGTAATACAAGAGATACCAGAGCACTATTTTAAAAGATCAAAGAAGTTTCCCTGTCTCCAGTATAATATTGGTTCTTCAAATAATATAGAATCCCTACAGTGCAGAAAGAGGTCATTCGGCCCATCAGGTTTGCACCAACCCTTCAAAGAGCATCCCACCCCATCCCTGTATTTACCATTCCTAACCCAACTTGTCTATACATTCCTAGACACCACTGGGCAATTTAGCATGGCCAATCCACCTAACATGCATATCTTTGGACTGTGGAAGAAAACCAGAGCTCCCAGAGGAAACTCACTGGGAGGACATTGCAAACTCCACATAGAAAGTCACCCAAGGCTGGAATTGAAACCAAGTCCCTAGTGATGTGAGGTAGCAGTACTAGGCACTGAGCTACCATGCCACCTCCATAGTGCTGAAACAAGTTATCTAACCATTATTGAATTACTGTTTCTAGGATATTTGTTTGCGTAAATTAGCCGCTGCATTTCCTACTTTACAAATAGTAAATACATTCAAATATACTTAACTGACTGTAAAGCACTTGGGAAATTCTGAAATACTGAATTAATTTATATTAATGACAATGTATATTAAAATTTTACTCAAATAATTAAATCTAAACAAACTCTGTTTCTTCAAACATTATTAGATTCTGCTAAATCAGCTGCAAAATATTTGCTTTTTATTTACAAATGAGCTTGAGAAAATTACACATCGTTGTTTAGATAATTCACTGTCATTCGCAATTAATGATGTTGGAAATTGTTTAATTCATGTAAGCACAGTCCATATTCTGAGCTCAACCAGTTGTGCAGAAACCATGTAGAAGGTTTCTGATTCAAGTTAACAACTTTGATTGATACCTTCACTGGACATCCCCATGCACAACCAGGCACAAATAAATCAGAGTTCAAGTATTAGCATCTTGTCCAGTTAGGATTACCTTCCAGCATCATTGTTGCAGCAGCTCACTTGACACTCTGGCATTAGCAGAAACCTGAACTGTTTGGGGTTCACTCCACGTGCACAGAAGACTTATAGCAAAATTAACACAATTTAGGAAGGAGTCTACCAGTAGCTGGCCTTGAAATTCCAGGTACACTGGAATGGCTGGGTTGTTATTGCAACAGAAATGTTTTACAAATTAAGGAGAGTAGGAAGAGCCAAATAGGGTGCTTAATAACATTGGCTATATTCCCAGTGGTTCCATCACATGATCTCCCAAACCATGCCCAATCAAATGGCCCATTTTCCCCATCTCAAATAATTTTGTAACGAGTACATCAATGTTCTCAGGATAGCTTGTTTTACATCTGCGATTAACAACCCATGCCTCCCACCACTCAAGGTTTCTCTGAGCAATGTTATGCAATTATTTTTCATTTCCAGAGACTCCAGATCAATCCGGATTGGTGTTATGTTCTTTTTCTTACCATAAATATACAAATTATACACAGATACTTTTTAATTTGACGATAATACTATATCGATGTACATTTAACTTGGGGGTGTTAAGCATAGTTTATCTAATCTGTACTTCTGTGGCTTGCAGGCTGATTACAAAATTATGTGACAAACATATCTTGTCTCAAGATTGTAGTGATTGACAGTAGTATAAGAAATGGGCCCTTAAGAATATACACACATCATTTCACAACAATCAGAGATTGGAATGGAGGGTATCATATTGGGCTTTGGGTACTAACCACTGGTGGCTTGTGCCAACATTCCTCCTTTCCATCCAGAGACTAAGTGTCTGTCTAATTAACAGGGGTAGAAGGTAAACACCAGAGTCTGAACAAGAAGATGCACTTGTCTTATATGAAATAGTGTAATTTATTGAATGATAGTAATATATATACTTAAATTCTAGTTAGGCATAGTTACAAATACCAGGACCCAGAGACGACACATCTATCCCCACTGGGGTCTTACGCAACACTGTCTGATCTTCCACCCAAAGATTGTTAGATTGTGAGGTTAGTTGGGGTGAATTCAACTTCAACATTAACACTTTTCAGAAATGTTGCCTTATAAAACAGAGGGTAGTATAAAGACCTTGCATTGGATGACTGAGAAATGACCTTGTTTCAGCAATCCAGTACATTGATTTTAATATCTTTACTCAGACTCTAATCCTGCAATACTAGATGGTGTTTTTCTTTGCTCCTTCTCTTCTTTCATATCATATCACCAATGTCCACAGTCTATACCCCATCCATTGTAAAATTTATTTTTTTCTGCATTTATTGACTTTTAGCACAAGGTTTATGTTGCTGTGTAAGAATAAAACACATTGTGTGGAGCAAAAAAAAACTCATGACTGGCAGAATTTATGGGCTATTGCCCAGGTACAATGCCCTTGAACTCATGTTTAATTCCAGAAAATACACAGTTAATGGTTTGGCCCTGGGGAGTGTTGTTGAACAGAGAGATCTAGGTTTCAGGTACCTACTTCCTTGAAAGTTGTGTCACAGGTACACAGGGTGGTAAAGAGGGTGTCTGGCATGCTTGTCTTTATTGCTTGGACCATTGAGTATGGGAGTTGGGACATCAGTTTGCGGTTGTACAGGACATTGGTGAAGCCACTTTTGGAGTTCTGTGTACAGTTCTGGTCACCCCTGCTATGGGAAGCATATTATTAAATTGGAGAGGTTGCAGAGTGTTTGAGTTATAAAGAGGTGCTTTTAAGTTGGGACTTTTTTCACTGGAGCACAGGAGATTGGGGGTGACCTAATCGAGGATGGTAAAATCATGAGGGGCATAGATAAGGTGAATAAGTCATTTCCTAAGGGTAGGGGAGTTCAAAACTAGAGGATATAATTTTACGGTGAGAGGAAAAAGATTTAAAAGGGACCTGAGGAGCAACTTTTTCACACAGAGGGCGATGCATATGCAGAATAAATTGCAGAGGAAGTGGTAGATGCACTTAGAACATTTAAATGGCATTTGGCCAGGTACATGAATGGGAGAGGTTTAGAGGGATATGGGCCAATCACAGGAAAATCTGACTAGTTTAGCTTGGGAAGCTTGGCCAGTATGGACAAATTGGACCAAAGGGTCTGTTTCTAGCCGGTATGACTCTATAACTCTACAATCTTACATTTCAAGGAAACATATACCATTAGACCAGTCAGAAGTCACATGACACCAGGTTATAGTCCAACAGCTTTATTTGAAATCACAAGCTTTTGGAGCTGTGGTCCTTCATCAGACTATCAGATATTGGAGCGGAATTAGGCCATTTGGCTCATTGAGTCTGCTCAACACTTCAATCATAGCTGATATGTTTCTTAACCTCATTCTCCAGCCCTCTCCTGGGTAACACTTGATCACCTTATTAATCAAGAACTTATCTATCTCAGTCTTGAAGGCACTCAATGACTTAGCCTCCACAGCCTTCTGTGGCAATAAGTTCCATAGATTCACAAGCCACTGGCTGAAGAAATTCCTTTTTATCTTTCACTGTGAGGCTGTGCCCTCAGATCTTAGTCTCGCCGATCAGCGAAAACGTCTTCTCCACACGCACCCTATCCAGGTCTCTCAGTATTTTGTCTCAATGAGATTCTCCCTCCTCCTTCTGAACTCCTTCGAACACAGACCCAGAGTCCTCAAGTGTTCTTCATATCACAAACCATTCATCCCAGGATCACTCTTTCGAACCTCCTCTCAACCCCTCCAAGGCCAGCACATCCATCTTTATATATGGGGTCCAAAGTTACTCAGAATGTTCCAGTTGCAGCCTTATACAGTCTCAGCAGTACACCCCTGCTTTTGCATTCTAGCCTAAGTCCCTTTGTGCTTCAGATTTCCAAAGTGTTTATTCATTTAGAAAACAGTCTACATCTCTATTCCCACCAAAGTGCATGACCTCACACATTTCCCACATTATATTCCAATAAATATGTAATGTTCCAGAGTATTTCTTTCCAAGCATGCCCAGTTGCATCCTGAGATAGTAAGAACTGCTGATGCTGGAGTCTGAGATAACACAGTGTGGAGCTGGAGGAACACAAGGGTCCCGACCCGAAACATCAGCTTGCCTGCTTCTCTGATGCTGCCTGGCCTGCTGTGTTCCTCCAGCTCCATGCTGTGTTATCCCAGTTGCATCCTGTTCTGTGAATAGAAAAAGCTATAAACACGGGATTTTGCAGTGTATAGCTTTCACTCAATAGGATCTTAAGGAGTCTGTTCAAATTAACTTTCTTTTGGACACAAATATGCCAATAGATACATTTTTAAAATGTTTGATTTTTATAAAGTTTTGTAAGGAATCATGCACTAAGCTGTAACCTCATTATAACATCCATATATCTTTCAAAGATAATTCAACATCGAGTTTTATACAGTTGATAGATTTGACGCATGATTGAAAGTGTTTTTAAATTACATTATAAAGAACTTATAAAGAACTTCCTAATGACAGTTGTTTTTGACATGCTGCATTTGATGATAGCCAAGCAAACAAGAGCAGAAGCCATAAAATAATTCTCAAAACGGGCAGAAGTGGCTCTCTGCATCATCTATTGCTTTGCCCTTTGACAAGAGTATAATTCAGTAAGGAGTGCTAGTAGGACATCATCAGCATACAGCAACTCTCTGATTACCTCACAGCAGACCATTCTTGCATCCTAGGTGAACAAAGCTGGACAATTTTCTGTCATTCTGGTATCTATATAGACACTCTCTGCAGGTGATGGCATATGACGACAGAATAATATGCTAAAGATCATTGGCATCAGACTTTAACTTTGTTTGACCCCATTTCAGATTTCAAAGGTTTCTGATGTTATCCTGACTAAACTGACCATACTCCTCATATTTTCATAAAATAACACTAAGCAGCTTCAGCAGGCAAAACATTTTGTTCAGCACTTATATAGACCTCCTTTGCTCACATGGTCAATAATGACATGACAAAAGGCAAACCAGGGATGGTCAAGAGAGTAGCATTAGCCTCTCTGAATGCGCTGTTTCTGAAAGAACATTTGCAGCCATGGACTTCTGTTCTGGTACACTGTTCTGCACCGCAGGGTACAACGATTGTGTTTACTGTATTCTGCAGCTGGCTGACCGACTGGGAATCTTACTTGATTCTTACTGCCTATGACTGGCATGTGTTGTAAGCATTAACAAGCTGAAACTCAACCTGCTTGGAAAAGTTATGAACACATCTTCCCTGTCAATCGAGTAGGATTTGAACCTGTAGCTTCAGACTCCCAAGTAGGGAAATCACAGAACAAAACCTGTTTGAAAAGACAGTATTCGTGCTGTAGGAATGTGGGCTTGGGCAAGAACAACCGCTAATACAGCGGATCGTCCTTCTCTAATGTTAAAATGCTCCACTTTAAAAATAACCTCAGGTCTTTATGACAATATCCAGTACATACATTCTCGTAATTTTAATGTAACTATTCATCCCCATTATTGCAGCAATTTTTACAATCTGATTCATGTTCATTTATCAAATACTACCTTTTGTTTTTATTCTCTGGAGGCATTTGCTTCAACAGAACAAAGTTTTCTGCGTTTTTTTCTCAATAAGGTCTCATTCAATTACCAGAACCTGATTTTTTTAAGAGTTCGAAGATATAAAGTATCGTTCTGAACTGTTTAAAAATATATATCTGTTTAAAACAAAGAAGTCTCACCGTCTACTATAGTGACCAATAGTCCGAAGATAAAAAGTTTCATCTGCAAATCTTCGCGCAGCTCCAAAGAGGAGCTTTCAGGGAGCAGCAACAACAAACATTAAGAAACCTGGGTTTCGATGCCGGAGAGTCCCAAATTTGTTGAAAACAATGCCAAAGGCGGTCTTTCTGTTTCATATGCTCTTATTTTTTTACGGTCCAGTAAGCCGCCTGCTTTGGAGGAAATAACGCCATCATGTGTCTCATTATTTCATTCAAATTGCTGCAGCTGGATTAAACCAAATAGTTTACGTTTTCAAGTAGGAGGCGAAGTTGGTGAGCTCCTGAGTCAGAAAGAAGAAGTTCCGCGTCCTTGTTAAACCGCAAGGTTCTTTTGTTAAAATAAACACCAGAGAAAAAGCTAGGCAACTCAATAAAATACTGAAAGTCATGATGAACGGCTTTTGCCAGCCTCAGGCAGTTTTCATGGAGAGGAGTAGAGCCAGCGGAGAAATTAGCTGAGTTTGTGGCATGGGCCAAAGATGCTGGTTTCAGTCTTCCCAGTATTTAATTAGGGGAAATTTTGGCTTATCCATGACTGGAATACAGATAATGTTTCCAATGAGTTAGAAACAGTGCAGGGGTTCAGAAGGTGGCGGTGAGATACAGCCAGCTGCCACATCTGTGATAATGTTGTAATTTTGGGTGAACGTGGAAAAGTACAGCACAGGAACGGGCCTTTAGGTCCACAATGTTGTGCCAAGCATGACACCAAATTAAACTAATCCCTTCTGCCTGCTTTTAGTCCTTATCCCTCCATGCCTTAAATATTCATGTGTCTATCTAAAAGTCCCTTCAACACCCCTATGGTATTTGCATGATTGGCACGTTGGTGAGAAACAAATGGAGATAAAGGATAAATTTTTGTTGAACAGCAGGGAAAATTGTATGGGGAGGGTGAAAGGTTTTATTAAACAAGAATATCAAGGGATATGGACCCAAGGCAGGCACCTGGAGTTGGGCCACAGATCAACCTTGATCCTATTGAATGGCAAGGGACCGAATGACTTACTTCTGTTCCTAAGAAAGAGAAGCCTCTTCTGGATACCCTGGAAACAATTAGGTAGCCTCTGAGAATAAAACTGGGTGAGAGTAGTTCCATCTGGCTGCACAACAATGCAAAGGCATTAGAGGATTTGATCATCCATGTCAAGAATTTCAAGAAGGATCATACAAGTCTGAAGAGAGAGTTTAGATGATTTTAGATTAGTTCAAATCAGTTGAACTCAATTAAAAGTCTTAACCACTTCAAACAAAACAACCCAAATGTTACATATTCAACAAAGATGTGCAATCAGGCAACACAAAGACACAGGGTTAATGAATAATATCCTATTTTCTTCAATATAATCATATTTAACAACTAAAAATCTACTTGTGTGACAAAGCAAAGAAGAAATGTTCTGCTTGTCAGAAATCCATGACATACATCCAACTGGACCTAAAACTCAGCTCTGGGACAGGAAATCTCTTCCTTCCTGAAGAGCAAATATCCCGTTATTTGCAAACTGACAAAAGTCCCAAACAAATTGTCCTAACCTTAAGTTTCCACATTTACAGAAAGTCCCACAAAGAAAATTGTTAACTAGGGTGGATGCCCTTGGAATTGAGACCAAATTACTGACAATGGCTGGGAAATCAGTTGAGTGGCAGGTGACAGAAAGTTAGGATTATGAGTAGGTACTCAAATTTGCAGGATGTGACAAGTGATGTCCCATGTGGATCCATGTTAAGGCCTCAATTATTCACATTATTTATGAATGACTTGGATCATGACAGAGAAAGTCATTTTCCAAATAGGTTCATCACACAAAGTTAGGCAGCATTTTGGCAGTGTAGATGATAGCATAAAATTACATAGGGATATTGATAGACAAAGTGAATGAGCAGAGCCACGGCAGATGGAGTCCAATAGAAGTAAATGTGAGGTTATCTGTTTTGGACTGAAAAAGCATTAATCAGGATACTTTATAGAAGGTAAATACAGTGAATGTCCAAGGAGACTTTAGGGTTCAGATGCACTGATTTGTAAAATGTCATGAACGTGTGCAGGCAAGAAAGCTAATGGAATGCTGACGTTTATATCTGGAGGACTGGATTACAAGGTTGCAGAAGTTATACTGCAGTTTTACAAAGCCCTGATTAGACACCACTTTGAGTGTTGTGAGTAGATTTGAGCACCATGCCTTGGGAAGGACATATTGGCCTCGGAAGGAGTACAACATAGATTCATAAAAATGATACTTGGCCTTCAAGGATTAAGTTATGAGGAGAGAAATGTGGCCTGTTTTCTCTTGAATTTAGAAGTTTGAGGGTGATCTGATTGTAGTCTTCAAGATATTAACAGGAAAAGACCAGATATATAAAGATAAATTATTTCCACTAGCTGAAGCATCTAGAGTTAGGGAGCATTGTCTAAGAGTTAGGGCCAGACCATTCAGGAGAGATGTTAGAAAGCACTTCTCTACATAAAAGGCGATAGATGTTTGGAACTCTCTTTCTCAAATGAAAATGGGTGCTGGATCAATTGTTAATTTTAAATCTGAGATGGATGAACTTTATAAAGAAAGGGTATTATGGGATATGGACCAAAGGCAGATATATGGATTTAGGCCACAGATCATCCATGATCTCACTGAATGGTGGGATAGGTTCAAGGAGCTGCATAGCCTGCTACTGTTCCCATGTTCCTATATTCCATCCCCTGCTCTTCAGCATATATCACAACTGTTTTCCTGCTCCAGTTATGCAGTGCACAGCATGCTTGGATTATGTAGCACACTATACTGAGGGTACTGCAAGAGCCCCCAGACCAGTTGAAGCATCAAAACCCCATCTTCAGCATGCCCATCATTTATCACACCATGGCCCTGGTGGAAGACTGAGCTGCATAGTATCTGCACTCAGCTTCAGTCAGGGCTTGAGTTATGGAACCATCAGTCATGGGGGTTGGTTAGCTCAGTTGAATTGACAGCTGGTTTCTGATATAGAGTGACACCAGCAGCATGGGTTCAATTCCTGCATCAGCTGAGGTTACCATGAGAAGTCTCAACCTCTCCCCTTGCCTTAGGTCTATTGACTGTCTGGTTAAACTCATTACTAGTCATCTCTCTCTGAAATTGAACTATGGTGAATTTACTTACTTTACATCAGACATGGTCTCCCAGTGACAATCCTTGAAAGGCATCCAGCCCTTGACAGTTTAGCATATTTCTCCATACAATGGGATATAGAGGACTCCAACAAGCAGAGCCAAGGAATGACCCTCCATGAGCTTTTGGCATTCAGGCCTTCTTCCGATGAATGGAGCACAAGCCACATCAAATAACAAATGTGAGATATTGTAAGTGCTGCATGATTTCTGATATCCTGACCCCTGACATCTATGAAGAAAGGCAGCATCACATATAGGGCTTTCTGGTGAATACATACAGCTGTAGGTGAGAGGATATGATTTCTGTTCTCCGATGAGCATATGAGACTTTGGATTGTCTTTGTGAATTATGGCCTGTGAGTATAACCTCCAAGATCACTTGTGATTACTTTTTCTTCACAGGGATAACAATGCTCAATCCGTAATGATCAGTGCCTTCTGGTTCTTGACTCTCCAACCAGCATAAACATCTTGCCTGCATCTACTCTGTTGATCCTTTTTAACTACTTTACAGGTTTCAATGAAGTCACCTCTCATTCTTTGAAAATCTAGAGAATACAGGCCAGTTTGCCCAATTTCTCTTCATAGGATTGTCTCACTAGACTGAGAACAAGTCTGGCGGACCTTTGCTACACTCCCTCTATGGCAATAATATCTTTTCTGAGACAAAGAAACCAAAACTGCACACAGTACTCCAGGTTTGGTCTAACCAAGCTGTTATACAATTTAAGCAATTCACTACTTTTGTACTCAAATCCTATTGCAATAAAGGCAAATAATCCATTTGACTTCCTAATAGTTTGCTGCACCTGCATGTCAGCCTTCAATGGCTTATTGACAAGGCCACCTGGGTTCCTTTATAGATCTACAGTTACCAACATCTTATCATTTAAGAAACACTTTGCACATCGCTCTCTCTAACCAAAGTCGATAACTTTACATTTTTCCACATTTTATTGCAATCGCCATGTTTTTGCCCGTTCACTTAATCTGAATGGGTAAGATTCATTCTTCCTGAAGCTTCCCTCACAACACACATTCTCACATAGCTTTGTGTCACCCACAAATCTGGAAATATTTCATCCCCACCTCCAAATATTTATTGTGAAAGCTGAGACTCAAGTACCAATCCTTGTAGTTTCTTACTAGTCACAGCCTGTTGACATGAGAATGACTCATTAATTCCTACTCTCTGCTTTTCATCTGTTAGCCAATCCTTAATCTACTCCAGTACATTACTTCCAGCCCATTTGCTTTAGCTTTTCTCAACATCCTACTGTGAGGTGTTTTATTAAAAGCTTTTTGAAAATTAAATATGTCCATAAAGACTTAACCAATTTTTTTAGCGACTACTTCAAAAAATTTCAGTAAACTAATCAAACATGATTTCCCATTCACTAATCCATGCTGACTATGTCCATTCAGACCATTATCAACCAGCCACCTATTTATCTCATCCTTTATAATCGATTCTAGCATTTCCCCTGCCAGTGACGTAAGACTAGCAGATATGTAGTTTCCTGTTTTCTCTCTTCTTCCCCTCTTAAATAGTGGTGTGACATTTGTTATCTTCCAATCCACCAGAATCAGTCCTGGATCTATAGAATTTTGAAAGATAATCATATAATGCATTAACTATCTGCATAGCCACACCTCCAACACTCAAGTTTTATCAATTTTTAGCCCACTAATTTCTCCATTACAAGCTTTATACTCGTGCTAATTTCCTTCAACTCCCATTCTCCTGACCCACTTGGATCTTTACTTTGGAGAGACTTGTTTTATTCACTCTTGGGATGTCAGCGTTGCCTCTGCCAGCATTTATTGCCTGTCAATAGTAGTATTGAATTGTCTTTTCGAACTGCTGCAATCTATGTTATATAGATTGGGGAGGGAATTCTAGGATTTTGATCTAACTGCATCTTCCTCAGTGAAACAGACAAAAAAAAAATCATTTAGCATCTCTGCTATTTCTCAATTCCAAATCAAATTCATTAAATGGGATATA